CAATATTTTAATAATGTTATAAGAAAGTATTGATATTAGCTCCATTCATTTACTTCACTCATTCAGTCAGTGAAAGCTCTTTTTTCTTAAACATAATTTATTTCACACACACTTCCAAAACATTTAAGGTAGCTTAAAAAATGTGATATAAAACATTTAAAGTAAGACTGAAATATCAAAAGCATTTCAGACAGACAAGAGTATATTCAACTGGGAGCCTTAGAGCACAGGAAAAAGTTTTTAATATTGAAGCAAAATTTAAAATATAAATGGACTTTGCTGTTCTCATTAGGTCCAACCCAGGAATAAACTCTTTCCTGATAGAAAATATAGAAGGAATTTATCAAATAGTACCATATTCAAGTTGACAGAGTCAACAATGCATCAGAACCTCAGAGCCTCACCCAGGAATTGGTTGTGATTGACAGAGATTTTTTTTTGAGGAAATACTGCAAAGAACCAAATTATAGCAAACGTGTGGGAGGCAACACAGATGATTTTAAGAATTGAGCACAAATTAAATACAGTAAATCACAGAGTGAGGAATTCTCTTCCTTTTCAATATTCTTTCAATCGGAGCACCTCATTTTTTCTTCTAAGTTAACTGTGATACTAATACTTGCAAGCTTTCCCTTTTAATCAAAGAATCTGCAACCTGAGGCTAAAATGCCTTCTGCAGGTTAAACTATCAAGTGATAATTTTGACCATCAATTTGTTTTTATTTATTTTCAAAGATTCCTTTTATTTATGACAAGTGATACAAAAGGAAGAAACAGAATGATGGACATATGTTTCAAGGTGATTTTGAGATGCCAGTTGGCAGGGGAATAGGTGATAGATGAATATCACTATGCTGGATTTTGATTATCATCAACATTTTGACTTTTACTTTGGTACAAATATTTATTAAATTATCCAAGGTAATAGCATAACAAACAAAATAAGGAAAAGTAAATCTTGAGAATGATGATGAGAATTTGTCAGGAGTCAGAGATTGTGATGAACTTAATCCTGTGCATTTGAGATCTAGCGGAGAAGACAAGGTAAAATTTTAAAGATCTTAAACAAAATAATGGTATAGATATGAGGGTGCAGTTGACTGAAATTTGAAAACCACTGTGATAAGCCATTCTCAGGAGGGGTAGTTTAAATAGTTCAAATGGACTGAAGCTCAGAAGTCAGGTTGAGGGGGAAATCAGAAAATATTAAAATTGAAATTGAAAATGACAATTGCTACAGTGGCTGAAACAAGCAAAGACTTGGAGAGAATGGGAACTGTTTGAAAATATGGAGAAAATAAGATGGTTATTCTGAGCATTAGGTGAGAAAGCTCAGAACACCAAGGGCACTGATATGGTCAGGAGGCATCAGCTCTGACAGGCATGGAATGATTTTTGATATTCAGGTTCTTTCCATTTGTTGAAGAACACAGCTCCAGGTCAGTCTGAGTACTTGCTGTTAACCTACTATTTTTCAGAAAGAATTTAGAAATATTTATAATAATACAAAAAATGCAATTATACTCTAAATGATATTTAGAAAAATTACAACAAGGTAATTTAGGTGAGGAATAGGTAAGGATTAAATAAGGGAAAACAAGGGGGAGAAATCAAACCAAATCAGCAAAACACCTAGTAAACAATAAGTGCATGCTAAAAAGATGTCCAAACACTTGCTACTTAAGTGATCTGAAGAAATAATAAGTACTCTTTTGCTGCACTCTTGGAGATTCAAGATAAATTCTTGAAATATTAATCTCACAGAATCCTTCAGTGGATGGCAGGGATAATAATGTTTTCCTGAGAAATAATTTCTTGAAAGAGCTGAGTAGGGGCACTGGTTTTTTTTTGTTTGTTTGTTTGTTTTGCTTTTTTTTTTTTTTTTTTTTTTTTTTGTGGGACCCTCGCTAGCAGCCGGGGAATGAACCAGCGCTGCAGAGGCTCGCAGCCCAGCGCTCAACCACTGCACCACCAGGGGAGGCCCTGTTGGGTTTTTTTTTTTTTTTTAAGATTTATTTATTTATGCATACAAGAACTGGGGTACATGTCAGAGGTGTGGGGGTGAGAGGATTCACCACAGAGTGGAAAACAGAATAGGCAGATTGACTGAAATGCACTGCTGAGAGGAGCAGCGGGAGAGACAGGAGAGGTCTGCTTCATAGGTTGCGTCTTAATCCCTTGTGCCACCAGGGAGGCCCCCGCACTGGTTTTTGGTAACCTACCTCATGAATGGGTAGAGATCCTGAAAAAAATGGATGTGAAGTATAAACCTTAGATTGTTTCTGTTAAATAATAGCAGGTTTTATCACTTCTCGGCCTTTTGACTAAGATCAAGTGTAATAATAGCAGGTTTTACAATAGTTTTGGATGGAGTACTTTAAGGCGATTTTCTGAATCTTGCAATAGGTATTGCTCTCTAAACGGAGGGATTAATTTGTTTCATATTCTTGATAGACAATTGAAATAGTTGACTCTTGGATGCTAACATGGAAAAGTGTGGCCTAAATTCTAGCCCATACTACAGTCTTAGAATACTTATCTCACCAGCTCCAGAATCTGAGGACTACGGAGACAAGTGGTGGGCTGCCTGCCTCACTTATCTCCTCCCCACATTGATTTACTAGACTCAATTGAAACTTCATTCAAGTCCCTTGAAAGACAAATTGTATACCAGTCACATAAGGAAATGCTTTTATGGGAGAATGTCCATTCATAAGGACATCTCAAAGAAAAGGAAGGGCACCTGGGGTTTCACAAAGACAGAGAAACGTGGAGTCATGATACCGGGGAAGGTAGATATATTTGTTACCTCAGAATATGAGGAACAAGCGGCCCTTTTTTACTGGAATACAAAATGGCAGTGGTTGTGTGTATGTGGAGGAGAGAGGTGGCAATGTTGGAAGGGAGGTTCTTACCTGCCTCTACTTTTCGGAAAAATGTGGCTCAGATAAATTCCAAGGTGTTCAGTCCCCATGTTGCCACAGCTTGGCTCTCTCCCTCACCTACATTAGCCTTGTTTTTGATGCCATCAAAATGGTGGCTTGGGGGAAAAAAAGTGCATTTCCTGTGTACAGAGGCTGGGGGGTAGGTGGGTAGAAACCATCTTCCTTCCCTCTGTAGTCTAGAATCACCCTTCCCAGGGCTTGTCAACTTCCCCATCCCCCTTTATGGAACAGCAAAGCCTTCTTTTTCCTACAAAATTTCAGACCCTCATGTACCTGACTCCCATCTTCATCTCCTTTGGGCCTTGAGTTATTTCTTTTCCAAATAACACCCCTTCCCTCACATATTTAAAAAAAGAGGTGGGAAACTAAGGATTTGATTCTCATGAAGAAAAATTAATCTGCAAGCAGTTTTTGACTAATTCAATGAGGTATGTGCATCCCCATCTTCCTCAAAGCAATAATCATAATCCTCGAGTTGGAAACAACCTAAGTCCCACCAGCAGATGAGTGGAAAAAGAAGATGTGGCTTATATACACAATTGAATAATACTCAGCTGTAAAAGAAAATGAAAGCTTGCCATTTGCAATAATATTGATGGACCTAGACGTTATTATGCTTAGTGAAATAATTCAGAATGAGATGGGCAATGTACAATTTTACCCATACATGGTCCATAGAGAAACCAGACAAATAAATGAACTCAATAAAACAAAACCCAAATTTTCAGATTCTAATACCAAGTTAATAGTAACCAGAAGGTAAGGGAGAGTGTGAGTAGGTAAATCCAGTAAAGGGATCAACTGTGTGGTGAATTAGGTTGAACTTTTAGTGATGAACTTAATGTAGTATATACAGATGATGTATTGATGCACACCTAAAACTTATGTAATGATATCATATAATGTTACTTTAATAAAAAATTACTGAAAAGTGGATGTTATACACTGGCTTCTTAGAATTATGGTTTTTAAAATCAATTATGTTGATATTTTTCTTAAGTGCTTAATTTCTCCTATTTTCTTTTCAAATGAGCAGAAATCTTTAATTTTCAGAATAAAGTTGGGAGTTCACTTCTATCTCTTTCTTCCCTATGTGAGAATATGTTTTCTTCTGGCATTCTCAGAAAGTGTACACCCAATTCAGGTGCTACAATTTCAAGAATGTCATGATGTCTCCCTCATTCCAAGACCCCCCTACCTTCCTCTAGAGTGTGGGCCATTCTTCCACTGCAGTTAGCTCTGAGCCAGAGGAACACTCACTTGTCTTTTTTCCCTGTGGAAATGTAAGAGAAACCTCCCACAGCCTGTGGGTCAGGGGTATTTCCAAGTGTCCCCAACACTGTTACACCTTCAGCATGAGATCGCTAAATCTGGCACAGGACAGGTTTTGATGAGCCGGCTGGATTTGCATTATGAATTCTATGCCAATTTTGTGAATGCACCAATCAGGTTTGAGTTTGCATTGGGCCTAATCAAGTCTTGGAAATGCCAGCTTTTGAAAATGAGCCAATCAGGTTGGAAAGGAAGGCACCTTGAAAGGGATATAAGCCAGAATTTTAGTCAGCTTCAGGGAGACTCAACTCTTTCCTCGAAAGACCTTTGAATACAGACCTCCAAGACCCATCAAGACCTCAAGACCTTGGCTTCAGGGACTAAGACCTCTGAAACTCATTGGACCTTCATATCAGACCTCCAACTCTGTCTGACTTACCCTAGATATTTTCCTGACAGGCCATCCACATCAGATCTCAACTTCAAACGGCTGCCTAACCACTGCCCCCTGACTGTCTGACCACTGCTCCTGCCTCCAGCTTTGCTTCCATATTCCCTGCTGATAGGTGATGCTGGCTTGTGCCCATTGCTTCTGAAAGAGCAGTACATTGGCACTCAATCCTCTGGCAGTATCTCTAGAGAGCTCTCTGCTGCTGGCCTGTATCTGGCATTTCTAAATGAGCTAGCTGTACCACTGGTGCCTGATGCCCCACATTGCCACCTGCTGGCCTGACCAGTGCTAACCAGAACTGCTGACCTGTGCCTGTCCCTCGTTTGCCGGGAGCCTTCGGTCCTCCGCGCACCCTGCACCCAGCGAGAAGTGCCGCGCGCCGACGGAGCGGACATGGGTAGAGCCATGGTAGCCAGGCTGGGGCTGGGGCTGCTGCTTCTGGCACTGCTCCTCCCCACGCAGATTTATTCACAGTCTACAACTTCAACTTCTTCTGTAGTAGCTCCTACAAGTAATGCTACCCAGTCTACCTTGACAGCCCCAAATCCAACTAATGGCACCACGGCAAGTGACGGTGCCCTGAAGTCCACAGCCAGTCTCTTCGTGATCTTGTTCTCCCTCCTGCATCTCTACTGTTAAAGAGACTCAAACCAAGAAACATCTGCACTTGCCCATCTTTCAAACCCAATGCAAATGGCGTCTAGACAGCCAATGTGGCAAGGAAAACTCTTCTTCATTGATTCTGCTAATTCCACACCTTATCAATAATTGACACAGAAAATGTTGAGAATCCCAAATTTGATTGGTTTGAAGAGCATGTGAAGGGTCTGACTAGCTGATGAATGCCAATATTAACTCTGCTGGAGTTTCCCGTACAAGATGAAGAAACACAACCAAAATTTGTTGAGATGCTTTCCTTAATTATGGTTTCAGAAATATGGAATATAAAACTCTTATCTTGAAATTAAGAATAGATATCTAGAGATAAAGGATGGGATGTAGAACAGAGATTCAGTTTTCATTTGGTTTGTTCAATCTATAAAGTCATAAAGAAGTTAGGTAATATACAAAGTTTCAGTGATTCTATTTATGTGTACATTAGAGGGATCTTCCAGGTGTAAATCCTTAATTGTTTCTGCAGTACTGATTTAATGACAACATGCTCTAGATAAACTTTTACATTGTTAAACTATCACCGTGGTCTTGGGAACTGAACTCTTTTCTCTACAGCTTTGTATTTGACATTCCATTTGACTTTTTATATAGGAATTGACATGTACCAGGGCAATGATGGATTGGAATCTACCCAACTCCAGACATAATTAGTAAATTTTGCTTATGTATTTAAATCACCTGTTCCTATTCAACAGGAGCGCCAGATTCATTTAGCTAAACTGATTCCAAATAGTAGAAGTACATTGACCTTAACTAATGTCAAAGGCTTTTTTTAAAAAAATTTTAAAAATGATCTGTTTGAAGGTAAATTGACAAATCTTGAAATTAAAAAGGCATAAGTTAAATCAGATGTTTGGAAAGTGAAAACTGGAAGCTAATCTGCATTAAATTCAGAAAAAATTTTTATACTTTTTTGTAAATACTTTTTTTTAAAGCTATGAATCAGAATAGTCACATTTGGAACCCTTTCTGTTATCCGTCAATATTTTTAGATAGTTAGAACCTGGTCCTAAACCCAAAGTGGGCTTGATTTTGAAAAGTAGTTCTTTACCACAATTGTTCCAATGCACAGAAACGTTTTTAAAAATAGACATTTCTACACTTTTGTTCGCATGGTCACACACTGATGCTTACATGTTCCGGTATCTAATATGGCCACAGTAGTCTTGAAAAACAAAGTCACTTTTTCCATCTTTAAAAACTCACATGGGAACAACTTTATCCAACAAATCTCAAGCTACTGTGTGTGTGAATGAACATTCCCTTTTGATTCATACCTGAATGCTGTACATCTATTTTGGACTGTATATTGTGTTTGTGTATTTATGCTTTGATTCATAGTAACGTCTCATGTTATGGAATTGATTTGCATTGAACACAAACTGTAAATAAAAAGAAATGACTGAAAAAAAAAAAAAGAAAGAAAGAGATAGACAACCATCTTTAGAACTGTCTACTGCTTTTGATCCTCTGGCAGCACTTACTCACCATCACTCCTGCCTCCAACACATCTGGCACTGCCTTCTGGAGATCTTACATCTGGTGCTGTCTGGCCTGGTCTTGGTATAGGTGTTGTTGACTCTACGGTGCCATTCAGCAGGCCTACATAAGATCACCACCAGCTGCCACTGTGAGCTGGATCCTGGCCCACCACTTACCAGTGTGCCATCAGCTCCAGGATGTCACCAGAGGGACAACACCATCTTGCATGAGCAGTTTTAGTTTGGACTACTGGACACTGTGAGCTCTCTATATAGCATAACATCTGGCCATTGTGGCTTTAGAAACTCTTTCCTCTTTTCAAATTTCCCCTTTGTTGATAAACTGCTATTTGTTGCACTTTGAGCATGAGTAGTGTGTTGCAATTATTAGTACACAAGTGAGGACACACAAACTGTGATACATCCCAGACCAGAGGTGCAGGGGTTGAAAGGATTCACCAGAGACAGATTGGGAAAGAGAACAGGCAGACTGACTGAAATACACTGCTGAGGGGAGCAGCGGGAGAGACAGGAGAGGTCTGCTGCACCATGTGGGTCAGCTCCCTGGCCGGGGATTGAACTCATGCTGCAGAAGCTGTGGATAGCTTCACAGTGCTATGCTTAACCCTTTGCACCATGAGGGAGGCCCCTCTGTGTCTTTTAATTGGTGAGATTAGTCCATTTATATTTAGAGTGATTATAGATGAATGAAAGTCTGTTCCTATCATTTTGTTCTTAATTTTGTGTTTCTAGCTATTCCTTGTTTTGTTCAATGTGAGTGTTTCTCACTCTTGCTTAGATACTAGAGCTTCTTTTAATATTTCTTGCAAACTTCCTCAGTTTCAATATGTCATAGAAAGCTTTTATATCTCCCTCAAATATGGACGAGAGCCTTGCAGGATATTTCAGGTTTTTTTCTTTTTCTTTTTTTTCTTTTGAACAGGCATAATTCATTTTATTTTCTAGTATAAAAATTATATGGTGGCTATGACTGGAGCCTGGGTTCTCTGCATGGAGAATTGTGTGTATGTCTTCAGCAGGTGGTCAGTGAATTCCTGATAGGGAGATTCAATGAACACAGTCTCTTTTCAGAGGTCAGGTGTAAGAGAACTCTAGGTCTCAAAGATGGCAACAGAGGTGGCCTTGGCAAAATTGCCCAGGGTGGAAGGGCAATCCTTGGCTGAGGTGTAACAGTCATTGATACCAGCCATTTGCAGCAGCTTTTTGGGCACAGGGGCTGAGACAATGTCACTGCACCGGGGAGCTGAGATAAGGCACGCCAGCACAGAGCCAGAGCAACCAGTCACCTTAAAAGGAATGTTTTTGGGATTGCTGATCTTTATCCCCCAGTGGCTTTGTTCCATGGGACATTGGAAAGCTTGGTCAGGGTGATAGCCCCTCGGATGGCAGTGGCTACCTCCTTGGAGCATTTAACATCCAGACCAACATGTTTGTTATAATCCTGGATGGCCACAAATGCCTTGAACCTAGTCTGCTGGCCAGCATGGGTCTGCTTTTTTAAGGGCATAATCTTCAAATCTTTGTCCTTGCAGGGCAGTGCAAGGAATAAATAAATGATCTCAGATTCCTTGATGGGCAAGACGAGGTGGATCTTGTTCAACTTGCTCTTCATGCCCTTGACTAGATGGCCCAGCATGGTGACAGGTATCCATTCCTTGTCGTAAGCCTTGCCTCCATGAACTCCCATGGCTGCAACACTGGCCACAGGGCCTACCACTGCTGCTTCCATGGAAACTGCCATGGCTTCCCATTTCAGGTCTCCCTAGGCCTTCAGGGCCTCCCAAATGGCCCATCCTCCATTTGGTGTAGTCACTGAGTGGAAACTCTTTAATATCAGTTTTTATCTTTAGTTTTTTGAGCATATCATTCTATTTTCTCCTTGCCAATATTGTTTTCAGAGAAGTTCTATGTTAATCTGACTGGTCCTTTTATTGGTTATCTGCATTTTCCCTTCACCACATCAATATTTTCTTTATCATAAACTCTTGGAAGTTTCACTGCAATACATCTTGGTCTAGTTCTCATTTTTTAATATGCCTCGTGTTCTTTTAGCTTCATGTACTTCATATTCAGGAAACTTTCCTCTGTTTTCTTTAAATAAGTTCTCTCTTTCTCTTTCATTTACCCTCATGGGATTCCCTTTATTCTTTTATTGCCTTTCCTTGCACAGTTAGATAATTCTAAGTGTTCCTTCTTTTTCTTTTTTTATTTTGCTCCTTTTTCCTTGCTTCATTGTGTATTCAGACCTTCATGTTCACTCATTAGTTACTCTTCTTTTTGTTTTATTTAAATACCATTGCTTTCTATAGTTTTTTTCAACTTCTCTGTTGCTCTTGTTACATCCTCCAATTCCATTATTTTCTTATTTAGAGTATCATTTTTGATTGTATGTTTGTTGATTTTATTTCTCAAGACATTCGTTTTTCTGAATTTTTTTGTAGATATGTGCTCCACTTTATGTGTTTCTTCCATGTTCTTTGTTTTCTTTTTATCATAATGGGTCTGATTCTGTATCCAACAGAACAAAACAGATCTTCCATGTTTTTGTTATTGGGTTCTGGAAATTTGTTTTCTTCCCCTGATAACACATATGGCCATTTGTTATGTTTTTCCATTTCCCCATTCTTTTCTTTCAGGTTATTTTGCCATTGGTGGGTTTCCTTTTTTCTTTTTTTTTTAAATAATACATTTTATTTTTATATTCCCCATACAATTGCAACCCCCCCATTCTGACCCCAATCCCTCCACTCCCGCCCCCCACCCCCCAAAAAGTGTCTCTGGTTCATAGTTTTTTATTGATTTTGATTTTCACTTTCTTATAGTTATTCATTTTCCTGGTCCCTTATTTAAGTTTTCTAGATTCCTGCTATGAGTGAGACCATCCGGTATTTTTCTTTTACTTTCTGGCTTATTTTGCTGAGCATGATCCCTTCCAGCGCCATCCATGTTGCTGCAAATTGCATGTGTTTATCTTTTTTGAATGCTGGGTAATGTTCCATGGTGTATATGTACCACATCTTCTTGATCCAGTCATCTATTTTTGGGCATTTGGGCTGTTTCCAAAGCTTAGCTATTGTAAACAGTGCTGCTATAAACATAGGGGTGCAGGTGTTCTTTGGAATTGATGTTTCTGTGTCCTTTGGGTAAATACCTAGGAGTGGAATTGCTGGATCATATGGCAGCTCTATGTTTAGTAGGTCCAGAAATCTCCACACAGCTCTCCATAGTGGTTGGACCAGTTTACACTCCCACCAGCAGTGCAGGAGAGTTCCTTTTTCTCCACACCCTCGCCAACATTTGTTCTTGCTAGTTATTTTAATATGTGCCATTCTCACTGGTGTAAGATGGTATCTCATGGTAGTTTTGATTTGCATTTCCCTGATTACAAGTGATGTTGAACATTTTTTCATATGCCTGTTGGCCATTTGCATTTCCTCTTCAGAGAAGTTTCTTTTTAGCTCTTCTGCCCATTTTTTGACTGGATTATTTTCTTTGTTTTTGTTGAGTCTCATCAGCTCTTTGCAGATTTTTGTGATCAGTCCTTTATCATTAGTGTTGTGTGCAAAAATGTTCTCCCAGTCGGTGGGGTTTCTCTTTGTTTTTGTTATTGTCTCTTTTGCTGTGCAGAAGCTCTTTAATTTGATGTAATCCCAGCTGTTTATCTTTGCCTTCACTATCACTGCTTTGGGTGATGTGTCTGTAAAGATGTCTTTGATGTGCAAATCACATAGTGTTTTGCCTATATTTCCTTCTATGTATTTTATGGTTTCAGGTCTTATGTCTAGTTCTTTAATCCATTTTGAGTTGATTTTTGTGTATGGTGTAAGGTAGTGGTCAAGCTTCATTCTTTTGCATGTATTGACCCAGTTTTCCCAGCACCATTTATTGAACAAACTTTCTTTGCTCCAATGCATATTCTTTGCTCCTTTGTCAA